ATTACTTTTTTCAAGTAACTTGACCAACACTGTCTACCACTGCACCAAAGAGTAAAACAGTGAAATGGGGATTAGCTCCTTCTCTTCTAAGTCCCTGGACATAAATTAATAATTGATAAACAAATGGATTCTCTGCCTTACAGAAACTGGGTTACAGCAGGATGATTATGTTAATTTAAATGAATCAACACCGCTGAGTCATAGGAATAGTCTCCTTAAAGCACAGGCCGAGGAGAAGGTGTCGAGGCAGCAATCTTTCACTCCAGCTTATTAATCAACCGAAGACTCAGACAGAGTTTTAATTTATTTGAAAACCTAAGCTTTGTCCAGGATTTATACCCCAGCTGTTTTGGAGTAGATCACCTGAGAGATGCTTTGTGTGACCCATGCATTAACTGCAGCATTTTGATACTTTCAGTGAGAAATGGGAGGCTGTGTCAGGTGGAAACCCTACTCTAAAACAGTAGGCCTTCCACCTCCTGCACCTCCCTCCTCCATCACCTGCCTTTCTGGGAGAGCTGCTGGACTGATCCTGTAGCTTTTTCCCTTCAGAAAGTGGGGAACTGTGGTGAAGGGCAACGGAGAAGCTGCAAAACCAAACAAACTGTGTGTCATAAATAAAAAGGACATAAAAGCAGCCAGTGTGTCACGGTCCTTTCACACATAGGTTTTAAAAATGATGTCCCAGGGTCATAGGCTGCAGTTTTGCTGCCGGCCTTCACCCTTTTCAGGGATCATAGTGACTTCTCACAGACTTTGTGATGGTTTTACTGACAATCTGAAGGGATGTAGTAATAGCCCATTAATAGGCAGATAGACAGGATGAGTTTGAGCTGTCTTACAAGCCTTATTGTGCACATCTAATAATGTACAATATACACTATCATCGAAAAGTTTGGGCACACCTTCTCATTTAGTGATTTGTCTTTATTTTCATGACTATTTACATTGTAGATTCTCATTGAAGGCATCGACACTATGAATGAACACATGTGGAATTATGTAGTAAACATAAAAGTGTGAAATATCTCAAAACATGTTTGATATTTTAGATTCTTCTAAATATCCACCCTTTGCTTTGATTCCTGCTTTGCTCACTCTTGGCTCTCTCTCTGAGCTTCATGAGGTCGTCGCCTGAAAT